CAGCCCTCCACCTCCTCCACTGAAGATTCATCACGTTCAGCATGCCACTCAAGTGGCCCCTCTGACGCCACCACCACCCCCTCCTGTCCCTACACCCCTTCCTCCCCAAGCGCCCCCCAAACCCCTTGTGACAATGCCCCCACCAACCAGCACCAAGACCGTGCCCCCTGTTATGACACAAGCTGTGCCAGCCACACCTACTCCTCCAGCTCCCCCAGCAAAAAAGCAGCCGGCTTTTCCTGTGTCCCATATCCCACCCTCTTCCCCTGCTCCTCCCGGTCCAGTCCCCCCACCCACGTTGCCCAAGCAGCAGAGCTTCTGCGTAAAACCACCTCCCTCTCCGCTGTCTCCTGCGCCCTCAGTCGTGAAGCAGATAGCCAGCCAGTTTCCGCCCCCTCCAGCCCCTCCTCCCGGGGAACAGCCCTTCAGGCCTCCCTCCGCAAATGTGGCCCCACAGTCCCCTCCTGCTGTGAAAGCGAAACCCAAGTGGCAGCCCAGCTCTATCCCTGTCCCCTCTCCGGATTTCCCTCCTCCTCCTCCTCCTCCTCCACCGGCCCTGGTCCCACCACCCCTGACAGCTACACCCTCAGCTTCTCCTGCCTCCGACAAAAGTGGATCTCCAGGCAAAAAGACCAGTAAGACATCCAGCCCCGGGGCAAAGAAACCTCCCCCAACCCCACAGCGAAACTCCAGCATTAAGTCCAGCAGTTGCACCGAGCACCCTGAGCCCAAGAGACCCTCAGTAGACAGTCTAGTGAGCAAGTTTGCATCGTCAGCAGAACCCTCAGGATCTCCCAGCAAAGAGACCCCACCACCTCCGGCGGCGCCCCCCAAACCCGGAAAACTAAATCTTTCTGGAGTTAACCTTCCCGGAGTTCTCCAACAAGGGTGTGTGTCGACAAAAGCATCTGTCCTGAGTGGGCGCGGAAAGGACTCTGTGGTAGAATTTCCTTCTCCTCCATCCGATTCCGACTTTCCACCCCCTCCACCTGAAATAGAGCTTCCTCTGCCCCCCATAGAGATTCCAGCTGTATTCTCGGGAAACACCTCTCCAAAAGTGGCAGTCGTTAATCCTCAACCACAGCCATGGTCCAAAACATCGGCGAAGAAGGCCCCTCCGCCCACACGACCCAAACGGAATGACAGCACCCGCCTCACTCAAGCAGAGATCTCTGAGCAGCCAGCAATGGCCACAGTTGTGCCACAAGTGCCCACCTCTCCCAAGTCCGGCCTTAGTGTCCAGCCTGGATTCCTCGCTGACCTCAACAGGACACTGCAACGGAAGTCCATCACCCGGCACGGCTCGCTCTCCTCCTCCCGCATGTCCAGGGCAGAGCCCACAGCCACCATGGATGATATGGCGTTGCCGCCGCCCCCCCCGGAACTGCTTTCTGATCAACAGAAAGCCGGTTACGGAGGTAGTCATATATCGGGCTATGCAACACTGCGGAGAGGACCCCCTCCCGCACCCCCCAAAAGAGACCAGAACACCAAGCTCTCGAGAGACTGGTAGTAGCTACCGTAGGACTTTATTTTCGTGGTATCTGTAATCAGTTCTACAATCAGCTCACCTGATCACCTATGAATTCTGGTGTGCAGAGCCTCCTAGTATGATGTTGTTATTCAGGTAGTACCCAGCCGTGTGTGGTGTGTACGTGTGCGTGGACACGCATAGCTATACATAGATAGTGTGTTTATGTGTATGTATATATATGTATACATATATGTATGTGTATATGTATATAGAGAGCTGAGAGTGAGTCTATTTATTCCTTTTCTCTCCTAACCTGAATATGGGTTTGTGTATTTTGGGTGGAAGAGGCACGGAAGGGGATGTGTGTCCTGTCCCTTAGGATTTCTGTTATCTATCATGTGGATTGGACCAAAAACTTCTAATGACTGACTTAGAAGGCATTTTATAAGTGTTCATGTGCAGCCTCTCTGTGCATGTTGTGTATTATATATTAAGGAATAGATGTATTATGTGCTGTTTCTCAGTTTGAGAAGACAGCAGAATGCTTGGTGTATCGATGGGACTTTTAGGTTTGTTTTTTCCCCAGTTGGCTGAAGTTCGAACTGCTTGGCTGACACTTCATCACTTATACCTGAAGGGGCACTTTAAATCAGGAAACTGTCAGCATCATGGGTGGGTCACTAGTGCAGAATGGGGAAGTTTCCACAGATGCTGCATCCGTCCGTGGTTGTGGATAGGAAGCAAACACACAATGTCACTAAACCATTCTAGTTGTAGGGCTGCCATGATCCCACCTGTATCTAGGATGTGTTCTGTCACAGGTAAGCTCTTTGCCTACAATACATGGGTAATTTAGTACTGTAATCCCGGATAGTTCTTTTTGTACTGTTGGTATCTTTTTCACGAACTTTGCGAAGCCTCATCAAGCTTGGCTTCGTGATTCTTGTTTTGATTTGTCGTGAGAGAATATCTGACACAATACCCCTGGAATGCTCTGTCCCGGTATGTCTTTGGGTCACCAGTTATATAGTGTGTGCTTTAGGTAGATGTTGACAGTAGAGATCTGTAGACAATTGCTCTATCACATATACACATCCCATGTCCGATAAGTGCATCATTACAAAAACAAAATTAGCTTCTGATTGCGTCTTTTTTGTGTGTCGCTCTAGAATGGGTGATTAGGAAAGAGCAGGCCTGTCCCCTGTGCAGGTACCATTTGTCGGGTTGTGTATGGACTGTGGTGTAGAACAGAGAATCCACTGGAGTACGGGACTCTCCCAGCGGGAGGCGAAAAGGGAGGTTTGTGACCATTCCATCTTTAGCTACTAGAGCACGCTCGGACTCTTGCTTGCTGTGGCCTGGTTGTGGAGATCTGTCCAGGTCCCCGGGTGTTCAGGTGGAGTAGTGTAGTCCAAGTACAGTGAGTGACATTACATATTATGCACGTGAGGTTTGGTGTAAAATGGAATCATTGCTCTCATGACCCACTGCATTCTCTCCGCTTCACACCATGCCTAACGCCTTTGTTGTTGTTGCTGTTGCTGTTCTGTGAATTTTCCTTGGTATCTGAGAGAAATATGTACTGTCCCATCAGTTTATGATGATGAAGTGGCCATTACAAATAAAATGCAATCTCAGAGCTGCTCTTAAACAATAAAAACTAGCCATCCCAGCGGTGATAAATGAGCACATCTTGTAATCCAAGTCTCTACCTGTCGTGAATCAGAATTACCAGTGCAGCCTGCAAAAATCTTTGACATTGTCCCATAAGAAAAAAGTGAAGTCAGTGCAGCGGGGCAGAGATAGTAAAGAATTTAAGAATAAGCAAAAGTTGTACTGTATACACAAGATATCCTATAAACCCACCTCCAAAAAAAGGACTGCATCAGAGAGAATATGAAGTGGCGCCTCTCCATTGCCTACATGTCTAGGATATCATTCAGCAATTCATGTGCTTACAGAGCAATAAGAATATGTACCACTGTGCAGACACTTTTTGGATCTTCTCATTTGTTCTCAAACTTTGTGTGCTTGATATTCTTAGGCTTATGAAGGGACCATTAACACATCGGCATTGTTAATTTAAGCATGCGCAGCAGTTTCGGTAATGGTTGAGCACAGATGGCCAAGCTCCGCTGTAACTCATGAGTGAAGTAATTGCCCACAGTTCTGCCTGCTGCCTGCAGCTTTATATTCTAAGGACCACCCTTATTTGTCAGGTAAAGTGAGTAATAGGAATCCAGTGACAGCAATATTCATCACTAGGGTTTTTGTGGTGGTGATGGTCTTTATTTTGCATGAAGGTGGACTTCAGCTTTCCTGGAGGGGAAAAACAATAGTATTCCCTCAGTCTTCCTTCACGCATGATTTGGGCCCTAAGATGCAGCCTTGCTTTAGTCAGTGTGGGGTTCCCTAGGACTTCTTGGCTTGTGTCAGTCCTGAGAGCCATCCGACCCGATGCTCCCGCGTTACCACTTTCCTGAAAGAGCAGACATCCTTTAGAACGCTTGCGGCACCAAGAAGAGAGCTGTGCCGTTTACACCCGAATCCCATGGCTTGTCTGCAGCAGGTTGTTTTCCTTTACGTTTCTCCAAGGACAGAAAAGGCTATTACTAATCAGCTTTTCCCCCATTTGTTTTATGTGAAACACTGAATCAAAGAACCCCACAAAATAATACATTAGATTATACTTCTAGCTTTTTACTCCCTAGTGGGATTTTTGTTGGGATGAAGTTGTGTGGGGTTCTTTTGAGATGACTCTGTTACTTTTGGAGCTTCTCTCTGGTGTGTTGTTGGAGAACACGGACTGCCGGAGGACACTAGGGCTGTGCCTTCCTTCCTCCACTGCCGTCTGCTCAGTAGCTCTTCCAACCCCATGTATCTGCTTCTGCTCAGAGAAGAACATCTGGGCAGCTGACTTGGCTGGACGGAGAAGTGAATAGCGTTGAGGGCAGTGCAAACAGGTGCCTGTTTCAGCTAGTGACTTGGTTAATTAGTGACACCCTCCACTTCTACCACAGGTCATTTCAGAATTGGTGATCACCTGTGCTTAAGGTTTGGGTACTAACTCTGAAGGGCAGCAGAGCCTATTCTGTTAATAAAACAAATGACATAGGGGCGCCTGCGTGGCTCAGTCGTTAAGCGTCTGCCTTCGGCTCAGGTCATGATCCCAGGGTCCTGGGATCGAGTTCCGCATCGGGCTCCCTGCTCCGCGGGAAGCCTGCTTCTCCCTCTCCCACTCCCCCTGCTTGTGTTCCCTCTCTCGCTGTCTCTGTCAAAGAAAATCTTGAAAAAAAAAATGACATAGGTTCTAGGTAAGAATATAAATGCTAGACTCTTCTGTATTGACATTTTATTCAGCTGGGTTTTTACTACTCAAACACATTATTTCTTCAGCTGCTATAATACTCCCTTAGGATAGGTATTCTTATGGCTTTCATAGGTACCCACCTAACTGTAAATTGGATTTCTTTTTAATTTCTGGGACTTTTTAAGATGAGAAAGATTGGCGACTTAAAAATTATAGGAAATAATTTTCATCAGAAAATGTCAAAGTAATGTAGAGGTGATGGTGTTTTACAGCTCTCTAAAATGAAAGTGCTCCCGCCCACTGACGGCATACTGTGCTAAGGGCCGTGAACCATCTTGGAAGTCCTCTCTCTGTGTGAAAGTTTACTTGCCACTAAAAACAATGCTGAGTTTATCAAGAAAGTTTAGACAAAATTGGGAGATCATGAATAAATAACCCCAATACAGTGACAACTGAGATCAAGATTAACAGGAGCTGTGCATCCAGTTAGTTTCAGAAGCTGCTCTTCTGGGAGAATACAACCGCTAATAAGCTTGTGTCAAGGATGTAAGGTTACGAAATAGCCTGGAAAAAAAAGTAAACGGTATGGACCGGTTTTATTTGACTATCAAGCCACCAACAGAACCCTTTGTCACCTTTTTTCTTCCGCTAAAAGCAATTTGTTACAAACATGAGGTGAATTTAAAAAAACCTTTTCCCTAGTTTTAATTTTTCATATACCTTCACGAGCTAACAAATTACAACTGCTAAGTGTCTCAGATTTTATTCAAGTTTAGACCAGTTAAACCTGTATGGCCCTGTATGATTATAGGTGTAATGACTTGCTTTAAGTAGGTATAATAATTTGGATTTATACACTTGATGAGAAGATGTCTGTTTCTAAAACTCCCTTTTAGGTTGCCAGTACCTTTTGGCACTTTTGACTTTTGCTTATACACTTTACATCAATGTGGGTTATCCCTAGCCCTACAGGAATATGTGCTCACTCACCAAGTTGAGATTTGATGCACAGAGAGATGCAAGTACAATGAAATATCCTATTTTTTAAGATTTATTTTCCTTTAAAAATTCAGTAGAACATTTCTACACTTTTAACCAGTCTATCCCTCCAGCTAAACAAGTGCTCTGTTCTTACTGTGCCCTCGGAAGGTCTATATGTAAAAGAAACCTGAAATTAAGCTGTAGAATACATTTGCTAAATAACAACAATATACTTGATAAACACGTTAAGGGAAAAAATCTCCAATTTGTTTGCTCTTTGCTGAAGAGAAGACACTATCTGCTATAATCCCCAGTGCCTTGAACTCTTTTGGAGGAATAGCATTTAAAAAATATCCAACAAGCAAACTTTGAGGTGCTAATGAAAGAAGGAAGATGAGTATTTGTAGTTTGCGCAGAAATAGAGAGTGTCTGTCTCACAAGAGATGGCTTTCATCTACCTGAATGGGGTCTGGCCTTTCTACCAAAGACATTTAGAGAAGTGAGTCTAGTCAGGGTGATGGCGATTACTACGTATTAAAAGATAGCTAAGTTCAGAAGTGACCCTGTTGACCACGGATGGCTATTAATACCAAGCTCTTAACTGTTGAAGCCTCAACCTCTTCTTAGGCAGAACATGCTTGCAGCACTTACAGAAAGTCTTTGCATTTTGGGAACTGTCCATTGTTGTCAGATTTATTGTAACCTAATACCAAAAACTGCCATTTTTCATGATTCCTACTTCCTATATTTTTTTTTTCTACTTGTAAATAATCCCTCCTAGAAAATAAGCGTTAACTGGAATGTTTCAAATGATTTTGCTTAATTTTATCATTCGCCACTAGTGAACTTTTATAGAAATGTACATTTACAATATCATTAGCTTGTACTAAATGTTGTAAAAACAGTTTACTGTTTTAAAGGAAAGTTGCACATATTTAACTGGGATTACTCCTTTTCCCATTTCTTGAAAAAATGGAGTCAAGGCTTACACTGTTACCTAGGCTGTGGGAGCTTTGCCATAAATAAATAGATAGATACAATGTAGGAGTATAGTTTTTTAAAGCATGAAAAGAAGGCAAAAGGAACTGCATTATAAAGTACCTAATAGAGAACATTATTCAAGATTATGATTATGCACAGCTCGGTAAAGGTGAAGTTACAATTTTTTTTCTTTCAGCTTTGTTGTTTTCTTCTGCTTAAATGTACGCTCTCATTTCATTATGTGCCTTGCTCCCTGATTGTGCAAACCTATATATAGATTATATATAGATATATATATGAGAGAGAGATATATTCAGTACTACTGACGATGTTTTTTTTGTTCTACTGCTGGATTAAGTTATTTTCCAAATTACTCTACCAGTTACTGTCGGTGAACTATTGTAACGGCTTAGGACAGTAGTCATACAGTGTAAATTTGTTTTGTTTTGTGTTTTCATTATGTCCGCTTACCCAATCCTTAATAAAAAGAATACATAGATTTCATTTAAACATGGGGACTTGACTGTTTGTGGATCGGCATTCTTAAGAAATTGGTTTTGGCTGTTTATGTTGGGGTGCCCATAAATAAGCTGTGCAGTAAGAACAAATTAATGTGGGAAGGTAAATTAAACTACAATTTGATATGTTCAACTGGTTAACTTTTAGTTTGTACCAACAGAGGAGAAAGAAAGCTTTGCCTATTGAAACTAAGATCTTCTTCTTTAAACAAAGTAGAACCAAATCCAAAATGGGATGCTTTTTGTTTCAAAGCTTTGGTATCACAACAATTATGTGTTGGCCTGCCATGTCAAGGTATGTATAAAGGTATATTTATAACGTATTTACAAATCTCTATCTTTTGTCAAACGAGGGCAAAAAAAACCCCTCTCCTTTTTGTATTAAAAGAATTGTATTTAGGGGCAAGTGATCAGAAAACCCTCAGATTAGAACAACAGGGAAGGATTCTCTCCAATACACTCCGATTTACCACCTTAGTAACCTCTTTGGTTACTTGCATAAAAACATTCACAAGACATTTGGACATACTTTGTAGAATTTTATTTAGGTCAAGTTCTTAGTACACAGCAACAATTTCAAATACAATTTCGAAATTAAAAAGTGAAGATTCCCCCACTCAGCTGGAGGTGGCTTAATGGCACACACGACAAACATTACCGGCAACAGACTGCTCCCTCAAGTTTTCCTGCATGATTTCTACTCAGCTCAGGATACCAACCCTCCCTGCAGGAGCTTTAAAAATACAACTGGCCAGATCACAAGTTGTTTAACATTCTTTTTTGTAAACCATTTTAAGAAAAAAGATGCTTGGACACAAAATATGAAAAACTGCTTTTCCATAGAATTCTGAAGTTGCAAAAGACATTTCCATCGTAATGTGAAAATAAGTTTTTCGTGTTTGTGTTTTACAAAAAAATCTCAAGATACTGAGCAAGGATCATTTATACACAGCTAGGCCCTATCGTTTCATTTGTCAATTTTTTTTTAAGGTTTATGAGAGTCTCAAAAAGAAACAGGAATAAAGTAAACGTAAGATTATGAGCACAATGCCTCCGTAAAAATACTGTTTTATAAGCCTCTCTCAACTAAGGCTCTTTGCTGTGCTCCTGCCAGTGCTGAAATCAGGTAACCTATTTTTTGCTACATAGTACTGAGTGGAGTAGTAGAAGGGTTAACATGAAGATAATTTTCACTAATTAAGTTGTGCTTTAGTACATTCCTTTAAACAGTTTGAATACTGATGGAATTTATCAAAACAGTGTTATCTTTTCAAGTATCTTCCTGAAGACATCAAGTAGCACTCGTAATTTTTAAAGAAACATACAGCATATTCAATTAAGACAGCTGTAGAAAAAGTACAGGCATTGAGTCAGGAACTCTACTGTTGTTAACTAGCTGTTATCTGAAATGAAACATCTAACCTCATCAGTTAAAATGAACTAAAATTTTTTAAATCTCATGTAGCTCTAAAATTCTAGGATTCTAAGTAAATCATGGAAGGGAAATCACCTTAACACCAGTCAGGAGTTCCTGGCCAAAGAAGTTCAGAAGTGAACAGATGGGAAGTGATTCAGATCCCCATTCTTTTCGAAGACTTGGCAGTCACCTGCCAAATCCTTCATCAAACCCTTTTCCAAGGGAAAGGTGGCCTTCAGAACATGTCATGCTCTCTCCACTGAGGAGAAAAGGTAATTTAAAAATAAAGGAACAGTTCTTAATGCAGAAAGGTACCTGCTAAAAGAAAACACAAAAGGATAAAAGCAAAACTACCGTCATTTTGATGCCTCTCAAGCAGAAAAATCCTAAGTAATCATCTGTAATCAACATAAAACTGCTAGGGAGCACAGCTCCATCACAGACATCACTGCAAAGATGCATAAACCTTCTGTCTAGCTGGGTAAGAAACAGCAGCAGGATGGGGGGAAAGAAAGCGAGGGATAAGAAAGTCTCACCTAGTGACTTCTAGGAACACAGCAAAAGTAGCAGGCCCTTGCCACTCCTAAGATGGGAACAGCAGGTGCCCCTGAGGGAGATAGAAAGCAGGTAGCCAAAAAATGGAGAATACTGAACAAGACATCTTCAAAGAATCATATTTACTCCAAATACAGATGGGGCTGAATCTCTCAGGTCTAGATCTTGACACTATTTTGGTTTTTGATTTATTGCCTTAGCCATAAGGTCAACAAGAAAGTGATTTTCATTCATCTCCCCCGGGCCTTTCAAATACTAGTACCAAAAGTGGGGGGGGTGGGAGGGGGAGAGAGACTTCAGTCACTTTTACTTTAAGGAAAAGCACTTCAGAAGGATAAAAAATCCCCTCTCCCATTAGATTCTCCCTTTATCCTGTTAAAATGGTTGCTTACAAGTCAGCAGATTTTAGACTTGGGTCATCTTTGCCACAATATTATGTATCCTGTAAGATTTCTGCATTCATTTGGAATTCCTACTACCAACCATCCTGTAGTTCATAAAAAAAATAAATTGGGAGGGGGGACTTACGATAAATCAAGAAATACTACCTTCACAGACTATTAATAGCATGCAATCTATGAAATATTACATACATTAAAAGTCTCCAATTACTGTAGGCCTGGCCCGTCATCATTACATAGCATCCTTCCAAGACAATATATAGAATTTAAAACTGTACAAAAATTTAAAATATGCAGAAAATCCAACAGGTATTTTTAAAACAATTGTATACATTAGTGTTAAATAATATAGAAAAAGTCAGCTGACCGATGGAGCCCCCTCTGCTGCAGGTCTTCAGTATGAAGGACTGCACCAGTGTCTTCTGCAGGCCACAGTCCAGCAGGGGTCCAAAAGGCAAGGTGACCGCCACCAACTTTTTTTGCACAATTATCTTCTCTGCTTCTATAGGTGTGAGCTGTGAATACTATATGGGATTTCAAAATACCCTCTTGCCTTAAAAATCCACTAAGCTTTCTCAGCACAAAGCTATTGAAGTAAAAACTGGAACACATCTAAATTTCAAAACAGTTTTCCTAGTTATACACCAACACTAAGAAGAGTTTAACCTATCCAGGTAGATAGTCTTGGTCCATAATGAACCTGAAGGCTCAGAGGACACTCAGGGCCATTACTTTAAAGGAAAACAGAGCATAAAGAATGTCAAGATGACCTAACAAAAGCATGAAGTGGAGGCAAGTTAATGAACGCTAATGTTGAAGAAATCTAAATGCAAAATAGCTACCTTACAATGTGTGGGGGAAAACCCCTGCAACTTTAAAACAAAAAGTCTTGGTAAGGGAACCCTGTATCTGGGTCTGTTAAATAGTGTTGAAGTTTTGTGCTCCGAAAACAGATCTACAAGTGGAATATTAACTTCTGCTTACACCATCTGAATTCCCTCATACACTAGTGCACTTGTTCATTTTTCAGTCAGATCCCCTTACCTACATTATCCTGTTCAAGGCCTTCATTTGAAATAAACGCAGTGCCTGCCTCTCTGTCCCCTTTTTACCCAGCACCGGGAAATGACTTGGCAAAGTCCCTGGGACGGGGACAAACCCAAGGCAGCTCTGGGCCCGTGAGCTGGGTCCTCACCACAAAATCCAGCTGCTGAGCAGCAAGCCCTCCTGGACCCTTTCATCGGTATTTTTTACACCACTTAAAGAAGCGATGGTTAAAGCCAGCTGCCTTACGAGCTCCACTGAATGTGAAGCTGTAACTTGTACAGACAGAAAAAAATACTGTTTTGCTCAAAATTATCTTGATTTTTATCTATGTAAGTAGATGAGTATTTGGCCTTAAACCTCTCATCCCACTATTCTTAGTCCAAGATAGAAGGTTCAAATTCTTGCCAAGAGCAGCGACTTCAAAAGCCAATCAAAAAACCGGGAGAGTATTTACCTTTCCTAGAACTAAGTAAACTCAGCAGCAGTAACACTGGCCATTAACAACATTCGGGGAGCACAGGAGCAAGCCTCTGATTCCCAGTGACTGTCAAGAGACTTGAAAATAACTGCTGTTTTCCAAGAAAGAATGTCTTCCTGAATAGTGAGAGAAGTAAAGAAATAGCTGGTCTGACCTCCAAGATTCTACTCCTGGAAACCGTGCCTAAGGCAAAGGTCTAGGATGCCTAGAGCACAACATTTTCTCCAGGTCAGTCTCAACCTCAGGAGCCTCACATCTAGCTTCACACGCCTGCTTCAGTCTGGGAGCCAGGCGACCGCGTGTCACACGCCTGGGCCCACAAGCCCTCGGTGGCAGCGCAGTCTCCTGCAGCGGCCGCAGCACACTGAACTCAAACCAGCAACTGTTAACCACCCTCGCAATGTCTGGGGACTCACTTCATCATCCTCAGTCTACAAAGTGAAAAACACGAAGGGATGCAAGTCAGCAGCACTCACTCGGTGCACTCAAGTGCTGAGAGAAGGCAGAATTTACAGTGTTAAGAGGAAAGAAGCCATCGAAACAGTTATAAAAATGGTTACGTATGCTATTTAAATACTAGTTCTCTGCTCCTCATCCGAGTGGAAGAAAGCGTGGGGCCGGGTACGGCACTAGGGCCACAAGGCTGACCCTCTGGCACAGGCACTGGAGAACGTCCAATGCCACAGATTCTGCAGGAGGAGAAATCCCAAGGGTGTACAGTATTCCTGAGAAAGATCCCAGATTTTCTGAATCAGTCTTAACCTGATTTGTCTTACAGAGTTATATGCTGTTACACCTCTGACCTATTTAGAAATGGTCACTTTATTTTAATCCAAACAGCTCAGCATAGTACAAATAATGGCAGAAAGATCCATTTGTTCAGATTCAGCTTGCTTTTTTAATACTGGGGAGTAAACCAAAAAAACATAAGTAGTTTGTGTCATTTGTATCCTTCCTTCATTTCACTGGAGGGGAATCCCCAGGGCCTTTTGATAATCTGGGAAGACCTGACTATTCCTGTGAGGGAAACACAGCCCTGCTGAGCTTTACTCAGAATAATGCATGATAGACTCAACATAATTCCCAGGAAAGAGCCCAGTCACTCCATTCATAACTCCCTCATACCAACCATCATCATTCTTCTTGATGACATAAATAATGGCTCCTTCCTGAAAGGACAGCTCATCTTCCTTGTCTTTTGTATAATCATAAATTGCCACAACTAGAGGGGGAAAAAAAAATAGGATATGAAAAGAATAACATCCCCAGAAAGACAGAAACAAATAAATGAATATCCATCCTTTCCCAACTGCTGCAGTACTTCAGTGACTTTCTAAACACAAACTAAAAAAATTTTTTTCTAATACCCAGTTATATACAATAAAATCCCATCTTGGAGAGGGGTCAGGTTCAAAACAGTATAAAAGGGAAGAAAAAAAAAAAATCCTATTTAGTCAAACTTACCCTTCAGGAGCCTAGGGGAAAATACCTTACTGAACCAGAATCGGGAAAGATGGCTGCTACTTCAGCTGAGCTTGTTTAAGCACCATATTGTGTAAAACACGTATCTTTAAACATGCGAATTATACTAGTGCAGTAAGATGCACCATAAAAGGCAAGTGAGAAAATGAGAATAAGGGAATAGCGGATTTACATCTCCAACTTTCTAGAACCTATACCTATTCATGAAGTAGAATAAGCAGTTGAATTCCCACGAGTTCTATGTGTCCAAAGTGGGAGTCTACTATATATAATCTTTTAAAACACAGGCTGCATTATGCCCGTTAAACATATCCACAATGATGGGCCAAAAGTTTTAAGAAAACAAAGATACCTGTCAGCCCTCCTGTAATTTTCACTGCTTAAATAATTAGGTAACAAAGCTGAGACAATCTCTGGTTGCTCATCATTAGACCTCAACAGTTTAGTTAACTTGGGATACCTTATAACTTGCTCAACTCCACATGAAGATTTATTTTTATAAAAGGATCCTCTGTACCTTTATTATACCACTCAGAACTTCACTCAAGAAAATCTCCATCTAGCCATCATTCTGATAAGTATATATTGACTTTGTTAGTTTCTCATGCAAACTTAATCCTCACGTAAATAAAACAACAGGGACTTATGATTTAGTGTGACTTGCCCTAGTTAAATTTTTGTTTCTGGCCTGCTTTAGTAAAAATTAAATGGCTTTCTTAATCTCTGAATATTTGCCATTACAGTAATCTATTAAGGATACCAGAAAATACTTTAGAGGAGCCTCGGAAGAGTTTATAGTGTGTACTTCTCAAAACAGAACCAAACACCTAAATACAAATACAATTAGATGACACAGAAGTTTAACTAAATGGAAGAGAATACAAGATATGTAGAGTACTTCGTACTTCTAGTCAACCTAATATCGTTTAGCTTTTGAGTTGATAACATTCTTAATGCTTCTGGAAATGCAAACCCAGAGCATATCTATATAAATGCAAGTAATTAAGAGGAGAAGTCCTGCTAATTCTACCTCCTATATCTCTCAAATCCAAACACTTTTCTCCATCATCAGCAGTCACTGCCCTAGTCGGGGCAGCAGGCTTTAAGACTACACCTATCACCCAGTACTTATAGATTTTCTAAGCAATATGAGTGACCTAATTTTATAGAGATACTTTCTAGATTCTCAACTTTAAAAATACTACTTCCTTACACCAGAAGCTAATATAACATTGTATGTTAACTATACTGGAATTAAAAAATATATATATAATATATATATGATCATATATATATATGGCTTCCTAAAACTGGTCTGCTGGAGATACCTTCAATCAGTCATAAAAATTCTCATTTCCTGTTTATCCTTAATAGTGGATTATCTTAAAGTACAAAACAGTTCTGGGTGCCAAAGGGACAATTCAAAATACTGGTGTGGTATTAAGAAAGAATTACTCCACTGATCAACCCAACCTGTTTGCAAAGTTCCTTTGCTTTTAACAAAATTTAAGAAATACTATACTGGAGTTACCAGGTGACACATGATCAAACATAATTTTTCAAGGCAGAACATTATTCGATTTTTGGCAGATAACTCTAAAGGAGTTAAAAAAAAATTGAGTGACAGTGCCACATGAAAAATACTTCCATTTGCATCTGCTTATTTATGTGAACAAGGTTTTCAGCACCATGGCCTCACTTGAGGCCTTCATCTCTTGCTTAAGGAAGGTATCCAGCCTGGTCTTCCCGATTCTATTTTTCTTACTGCCTAATGTACTCTCCACTATTACCAGGTTATCTTAAAAAAAAAAAAAAAAAAAAGTTATAAGTTCATGGGAACTTATAAACCTGCTTAAAAATATTCCACAATTTCCCTCTACCATTAGATTTTTAAAAAGAAAAAAAAAAACGCAAACACCTCAGGCTGGTATTCAAGGCTTACTTGCTTCCCCTCATACCCCACCCTCTCCCTACAACCCACCATGTTACATGTGACACTACTCACCACATCCCAAACTGCCATGCCCTTTCACTCAGAGGATTCTCAGTGAATCCTTCTGGACGGCCCTTCTTATCTTTCTTCTTTGCCTGAGAAACTCCTACTCATCATTCAAGACACACCATAAATGCCATGTCGTCTGACCAGCTTTCTGGAATCCCCAGATAGAATTAATGGCCCTATTCACTTTTTGACAATCATTAATGGAGCATCTATGCTGATTTTTAGAGATAAAAGGTGAACAAGACAAGGGACCGTCATAGTCTTGGGAAGACAGAAATGTTATCTGATAAGTTACCATACATGGTTTATACTTCTACCAAGAAGTTACATCATTGAGCTGGAAGAACACAAGAACAGATGGCTTGATAGAAGGAAGGGACATAAAATGGGCACTGACAAATAAGTTGAAGTTTGCCAGGAAGAATTTAACGCTAATAAAAAGTACAGCTAAGACTCAATCCCAGGTCTGAGATCAAGCTGAGGACAGTGGTTAAGAATGTGGGCTCTAAGGGAAAAAAAAAAGAATGTGGGCTCTAGGGTTGTATCACCTAGTTCAAATCCCAGCTCTAGCATTTGTAAGTTTACAGAACATACTTAACTTTCCTAAGCTTCTTTTTACTCAACTATGTATAATGGGAATTACAATAGTGCTAATACCTCAAAACAACAGAACATTGTTATATTAAATGAAGCAGTGCACGTACAAGATATAGCCCAGGGGCCTTGTTCATGATAAGTAAACATTATCTATATAAATGTTAGCTTCTTTTATTATCATTAATAACTATTATGATACACTATCTTTTTTGTAACACTAACATTTTCTTTATATAAATTATTTTTGAACCTCAATTTCCTAGTTTGCAAAATGGGGAGACTAATTGCCTTACATACGTAGTAACTTTAGCATTATGCCAAGCATATAATAAATACATAAAAACATCTGTTCTTTACCCAGGTTAAATCAAGATCCTCACGTATACACATTATCTCCATCTGGCTAGTATAGCAGTGATCAAAGGTTAAGATAAACCACCTCCTACGGCAGTGGTTCTCAACCTTGGAATTATCGGAAGAACTTTAAAAAATTCTGATGCCTGCGATGCATGCCCATGGATTCTGGTTTCTTAGGTCTGGAGGTGCAGACATATTAACTTCTGCCTCGGTGACTCTAAGATGCAGGCAGGCCCTACAGTCTAAGCTAACAAAATGAGTCATTAGGCAGCAGCCTTAACATTTGATGCACATTCAAACAAAAAAGCAACCATAAGCAAAGCGTGGTTGGTTCTTTTTGTTTTGCCGGAAAGAGTAAGAAAGAGCTTACTTGATTTTCATGTTTTAAAAGATCTGAACTTAACAGATAAATCGAACTTTGAAAAACATCTTAGAGAACAATTCAGGCATATTTTAAACTCTAAAGAGTTACTTGGACTGAAAGCAACTCACTTTCCTCTCTTATAAAAATCTCTCCAGATTTTTAACATACTCACTGAAGAGTACATTTTTCGAAAGCAAACCTTTCTTTCATTGTGCTCTTCTTTTAAGGAATAACTGAGCTCGTTTTTCAGAGCTGAAAACTCATCACTTTATCTAGGACAGCGTTAAAATCAGGGAGTTTGTAAAACATGTCAATGCCCAAAGCCATACCCTCCTACTGTAGGACTTTGGGCTTTTTTTCTTAAAAACAGCTTTATTAAGGTGTAATTTAGACACAAAATACAACCACTTACGTGTAGAGCTCAGTGAGTTTTGTCAAATGTATGCACTGTATACATGACAAATACATCACCACCACCAGTCATCATACAAAACATGCCCACCACTCTGAAGTTTCCTTTTGCCCCTATGTAAATTTCCTCACCCACCAGTATTGGTCCCTGGAAACCACTGATCTTCTAGATTTCATTTAAATGGAATCACGAAGTATGAGTCTTTAGTGTCTAGATTCTTTCAATAGAATAATGCTTGAAATCCATCCATACTGTTGCTTGTATCAGTAAGTTTGTTCCTTTTCTTTGCTGAACAGTATTCCATTGAATGGATGGATATCCCACAACTAGTTTATCCATTCACTAGTTGAAAGACACTTGAGTATTATGAATGAAGCAGCTATGAAGGTTTGAGTTCAAGTCTTCGCATGAACATAGATCTTCATTCCTCTTCACTCCTCTTAAGTAAATATGTAGGAAGGGATTGCCAGGTTGGCAAGTATGTCTAATTTCATAAGAAAACAGACAGCTATGTGTCAAAGTAGCTGAAACATGCTGCACTCTCACCGGCAAAGCCTAAGAGCTCCAGTTTCACTACCACACTTCCTCCAACACTTGGTATTGTCGGGGTTTCTAACCATAGTCATTCTAGAGGGTGTGTAGTGGGATTTAGTTTGGTTCACAGTGGCTTTAATCTGCATTTCCATAATGACTAATAATGTTAAGCGTCTTCTCATGTGCTTATCTGCAATTCATGCATCTAATTGGTGAAGTGTGGTCAATTTTTTTTTTCTACAAGCTGTTTGCCTCCTTACTGAGTTATTTTGCAAAAATCCTTCCCGGTCTAGGCTTGCCTTGTTATTTTCTTTACAGCATCTTTAAAGAAGGAAAGTTTAATGAAATTCAATCTATCAATTTTTTATGTGCTCTTTATAATTTGAATGCAATTTCAGTAAAAATTCCAGGACTCTCTATAATTTTTTTTCCTAATCCTAAAACATAAAGATTTTCTCCTATATTTTTCTCGAGAAGTTGTATAGTTTAGGTTGACCATTAGGTCTAAAATACATTTCAAGGGCGCCTGGGTGGCTCAGTTGGTTAAGCGACTGCCTTCGGCTCAGGTCATG